GCTACCAGAGCTCCTGTAACTTTTTATTTGATATAATTTCACATTTGAAAATAAGTTGCAAGATTGGTATAAAGAATGTCTGTATGCTCTTTATCCGGTTTTACCAATTATTAATATTTTGCCCCTTTTGCTTTACCATTTACTCCTTCTTTATACTTTTTTATTTATTTTTTTTAACCTTGGAGAATAAGTTGTAGATATTATGCCCCTTTACTCTTTTTTTTCTCTCTCTTTTTTAAATTGTGGTGGAAATATAAACATCAAGACATCTACATTCACAACTCATTGATTACATTTTTCATGTTTTGCCACAATTATTGCTATTCTCATCCAGAGTATTCTACCACCATTAACATAAACTCAAGCCCCCTAAACTGGCTAGGTGAAAGCCCCTCAATCTTGGACTTCAGCTCTGACTCTTGCTCCTGGCCCACTGAAGCTGAAGGCTTTTCTTAACTCAGGCAGCTGCTGGCTAATGAGGCTGGCATATCCAAGGTTTATACGTAAAAAGGCACAGTCCCAAGATTAACAAACAACATGGCAGGCCACTAGCTCAAGTCCAGAAAAGTCCCAAGATCAGCTGGGCACGGCAGGCTGCTGAATGAAGACTCAGCTACATGCAGGGTCCAAGCATGCCAAAAAGCTGCAGACCATTCCCAAAGCTTCTCCTTGTATACTGGAAGCAGACCACATCCCTAAAGCAGGTACCCGGTTGCTTGTGGCAGATTCCACCATGGAATTGATTGCCAGTCTCGTCATGGGGAATAACTCAACCAGCTGCCCAGCCACTCAAAACCAGGCCTGGCCAAGTTGACACACAACCTTAAGTACCACAGTGGTCCATCTGCAACTTTATTTTGAGCACCAAAAGGGAGTCTGGGACTGGAAAAAGTACATGGTGCCCAGCTACTGAACATTTAAATCAAAGATTCTATAGAAGAAGCCTTCTCAAAGGGAGGAAAATGCAGAAAGGAATTCCAGAGTCTCATGGAATCCAGACTTCTGGAGCCATGGAGGCTCTAGGAAACGATTGTCCTGAGATAATTTTTAACCTTAGACCAAAAATATCCCCTGAAGTTTTATTAAAAGCAAACAGTAATTTAGCTTACCATGTGGGGAGTGTCTGCCTTGAGCACTGTACTTTTTGGAGACCTATGTATATGGGATCAGACTGACAACAGCAGCTGGAAGGATCAGGTCAGAAACTTAGGGGTCTGAGTTTCTGTTAATCGGGGAGGAACAACTCAAAAAAGATGGTGAGAATGGTTATGGACCTTGATGTAATCAACATCACTGAATTGTGTATGTATAGAAACTGTTGAATTGGTGTTAAAAAAAAAAAAAAAAAAGAGCCTGTTCTCAGCAGCAATAATAAAAAATATTTTTTTTTTTTTTAAGAAAAAGGAGTCTAGGCACCCAAATCACAATAAATTTTTTTTAAAAAAAGGAGTCTAGATCCTTTTTAACCATTTTACTGCTTTCTTTGACCTCTGAGTAGTTATTTTTTTCACTTAGAGCAAGTTAGTGAGTAGATACATACTTGAAACTATACTAGTTCAATTAATTAAATTCCTGTTCAAAATGTGAACATTTGAAATTCTGTACTTTTCTTTGAGTGACCTGTTATATCCATGTTTCTCCTTTCTACCTAAATGAAATTAGTTTTGCTTTATCTGCAGACATTCCCGTCTCTCTTCCTTGGGAGCATAAAGCGATAACTAGAATGTGTCTTCTGTTCATGTCTTCCTCAGTTTACATTGTAAGTTCTTGATAGTCAGGGACAGTGTGTTTTGTGTCCCACACTAGCACAGAATGGATACTAGTTACATATCTGTGAATGAAAACAACCTCATAAATACTGAGAAGAAAAGTTAATCCTCTCCTCTTAAATGGTGCACAACACATTCCTTGAATCTTCTAGGTTCAGATACAGATTTTGTAAATTATTAGAAGCTTTTATAGTCATAGAGTATAGACTTTGAATATCAAAATTATTGGTTAAATCTAGACTTTAATAATGACATTAGACAGCACGATTGACAAATAAATTACTATATCAAAAGCAGAAAACATGGGTTTTGGGTAACAATTCTATTACAAGACAGAACTGTGCCAGAGCTTCCTAAGTTTTCATAGAGCTTCATACATTTTCTTGGTGCATGAAAATCCGTGAATGTCTCAGTAATTTTTTCACAAAAAGAATACCCATCTATCTATTTTTAGAAGTTAGGTTCAAACAACTTAAGTATTTGTGTCCCAGTACCTACTGGGCAGTGTACGGTTTCTCTGACTATGGAATCAAATGGACATTCCATCCTCATTCCTCTTCTACATTGATTTCCCCATCATACCTTTTATCACAGCAACTGCCAAAAACCCAGCTTCACAAAAATTGTGGCATTATTGAAAGGGATGCAATTATTTCAGTGGAGAAAGTGTGAGCTACCTCGAACTGATAGTCCAGATAGTATTCAAACAGATGCCACTGTATTTTCTTTAAAAAGTAGAAGTGTCCTGCGGTGCCCCGTGGGTTTGCCACGGTCTCTCTGAGTGCTTCAGTGCAGTATGGAAACTGTGGCCCTCATGATTGTCATCACAGAGATGTAAATGTCCTATGTACCTGATGTTCACTAGTGATCACAGTTAATCTCAGTATTAATTTTTTTTAATCCTAGCCAATTCATGGGAGCTCTGGTAGCATAGTGCCTAAGGCACTTGACTGCTAACCAGAAGGCTGGCGGTTCAAACCCACCAGCCACTCCTCGGAAGGAAGGTTGGGCAATCCTACTTCCGTAGTGATACTGCCTCGGAAACCCAAGGAGGGGTCGCTATGAGTCGGGGCTGACTCAATGGCAAATAACAACAACTAACAACAACAGCCAATTCATATACATAATCATTTTTATTATTTTTCTTTAACACATATTTGTCATTCTTTTTATTTAAAAACAAAAACTGCGTATAAAACTCTGATGTTAATACAGGATGGCTTCTTTCTTTGGTCCTGTCCTTATTTGTACTATTGTGTTCACTTTTTAAAGACTGTCATTTGAATCTAATATATATAATTTTTAAATCCATCAAAAGCTGTTGTTTTTTCTTCCTGATGTAGAATAAATCACCTGCTGCAGTTACCGAACCAGAAACAAACAAATTTGATAGTACTGGCTATGATAAAGACTTAGTAGAAGCCTTGGAAAGAGATATAATTTCACAGAATCCCAATATTCGATGGTAAGTTATATAACAGCAGAACCATTGGGTGCTAATGATGCATTTGGAATTGAAAATGGGGCACATGTGGGAATAGAACTCTGTTACATACAGTATGAGCCAAATACATACTGGGAAACTTCCCTTCTGTCTAGGCTGTATCAGCTTTTTGTCTTGAGACCCTACTTCTTGTATACAGAATGAGAAAAAGATCACAGAAATGTCCTCATTTTTTTAGTGTTCTTCTAATGGTGAAAAGGCAATGATTTTTAGCTTTAGTGGTGCAGTGGTTAAGGCAATTAGCTGTTAACCAAAAGGTTGGCAATTCGAACCCACCAGCCACTCTGCAGGAGAAAGATGAGGGATTCAGCTTCCATAAAAATTGACTGCCTTGGAAACCCTGTAGGGCTGTGTCCTATAGGGTCACTACGAGTCAGAATTGGGTTTTGTTTTTGGAGTGGTGTAGCTGGGGTTGACTTCAGAGTAATCTCTGATATTCTTTTACCTTGACCTCTACCGCTTAAAAGAGTTGAGAGCACTTTATTATTATTTTTAATACACTTTTAAATGAGTTTGTTGTTTCTAAGTCATGGAGTTTGTGGAATGTTCATTATGAGTACAGGCACTTGAAATGAGGTGGCATGGTAAGAGTGAGCCTATACACCTATATTCTCATGGGTCAAGCTGAAAATCGTTACTGCCAAGATGGAAGATCCAGATGGCTCTTTATGTATACTGACTGACATGGTGGGCCTCTGCCTAGTATTAGTTTACTACCTAGGGAGAAGCATAAGGAGCCCTGGTGGTACAACAATTAAGCGGTCGGCTGCCAACCAAAAGGTTGACAGTTCAAATCACCAGCCATTCCACTGGAGAGAAGATCTGGTGGTCTTCTCCCATGAAGATTACAGCCAGGAAACCCTATAGGGCAGTTCTACTCTGTCCTATAGGGTCGCTATGTGTTAGAATTGACTCTATGGCATATAACAATAGGGAGCAGTTTAGTTAGCATTCTGTCTGCAGTGTAAAGTCATATGTTTCCAGTGGTTTTTAAAAATTACTACATAGAATTAAATATATCTTATAATAGGTTGTTGATAAAATGTGTTCCTTTTCAGGGATGATATTGCAGATTTAGTAGAAGCCAAAAAGTTGCTTAAGGAAGCTGTGGTGTTACCTATGTGGATGCCAGAATTCTTTAAAGGCATTAGGAGACCATGGAAAGTAAGTTTATTGGTATAAGGGCATTGTCAAAGTGAATGGCAACTGTGCTCTAGAAAGCCAGTTTATATATGTAGTAGGGGAGGTAAGAAGAGAAAGTGGAGTAGGTGTAGAAAATTTTTAAAAGTATGCTTTGTGTTATTCAGAATTGTGTTTTAGGCTGCAAGCCATTGCAAGGTTGCCAGGGTATGAAATAGGTACACTGTCATCTCTGAAAAGTTGAATACATAGCAGATTGAGAATGAGCTTGTATTTGCAAATATGAACTAGACAACTAATGCAAACACACACACACACACACACACACACAAATCATGATGCATAACATGTAACTTGTGGTTCTTGGAATTGTTTTTAGGAAATTAATGAGAAATACCCACTATGGTTCTGGCTTTTTTTTTTTTTTAAAAAGATGATGATGTGCAGGCTCTGTACCTCGAAGGCTGCAAAGTATATATCTTCCAAATACTGGCCTAATGAGTACTTTTTTCAATTCATGGGCTGATCTGATAAGTTCTGTCAAAAAACTCTTGGGTTTCAAAAATATGTACTAATGACTAACATTGTGTTTAGTAATATTTCTCAAAATCTTGTAAAGTGATCAGATACAAAATTGTAGACATACTTTTGAGTGCTACGTAAAAAAATAATTTGGGCAAAATGACTAGTGGGAATAGCATCCACCAGATGGCATAGTACCTAAGGCATTTGACTGCTAACCAGAAAGCTGGCGATTCAAACCCACCAGCCACTCCTCAAAAGGACGATTGGGCAACCTACTTCCGTAGAAATAACTGCCTTGGAAACCCAAGGAGGGGTCGCTGTGAGTCAGATCCAACTCGACGGTGCTGAGTTTGGATTTGGTTTGATGCTAATGGTACCTGGGTTAGTGCACTGACAAATGACTTGTTCACCTCTTGAGTTCCAAAAGTTTAATAACATGATTACCTTACTTTTGTAACTGAAAAATTAACTTATCATAAAATCCTTCTGTTTGTCTTTTCTTGGTTTTGCATACAACCCCCAACCCAAAAAAAAAACCTCCACTGCCTTCAAGTCAAATTCTCATTCATAGCAACCATATAAAACAAAAGTACAGCTGCCCTATAGGGTTTTCAAGGCTGTATGTCTTAATGGAAGCAGACCACTGCAACTCTCTCCCACAGAGTGGCTGGTGGGTTTGAACCACTGACTTTTTGGTTAGCAGCCAAGCACTTAACTACTGTACCACCAGGGCTTGGTCTTACATACTCTGTATATTCACCTGTTGCTCACTTACCAACCATCTCATTATCTAACATTTTTCTTTTATAACCATAGTAAAAAATCTATCTCAGTATCTTGTGTGTTAACTACATACATTTGGCAGTAACAAACACTGAGGTGTGAGGCAAGAGTAAGATTGGCTGTGATGGTTAAGGGTATATGTCAGCTTGGCTGGGCCGTGATTCTCAGTGGTTTGGCAGTTATGTAATAAATACATTGGCAGTTACATAATGATCCTCTATTGTGTGATCTGATGTGATCATCCTTGATTTTTGCATAATGTTGATTTCCCATTAATCTGGTCTTCGGAACCTAACCATGTGGATAAGTGAGAGGTGGGGTATTATGTATAAGTTGGTTGAAATTTGATTCTTAGTAATGGGATATTCATGAATTAGAACAACGGCAGATAAATCCTTTGTTTTACTTTTCCCAACAGGGAGTGCTGATGGTTGGCCCACCTGGCACAGGAAAAACCCTCCTTGCCAAAGCAGTAGCTACAGAGTGCAAGACAACATTCTTCAATGTCTCTTCATCAACTCTTACTTCCAAATACAGAGGAGAGTCTGAGAAGCTTGTTCGTCTTCTGTTTGAAATGGTGAATGTTTGCGACAGCTAATGATTCTTTATCTCTAAAAGAGGAGAAAGTGAGTTGTCATATTCTCCAGTGTGTAGCATAGCAAGGCAGGATGGCATTTTGCCCAGGGTCTGATTCCTGCTCACTTGACAGCTAGCACCCTTTACTAACACGGGCAACCTCTCCTCTTTACTCTGGAGGTAGATCCCTTTCTGGTAATTTATGGGCATGCTCATAATACGAGATCAACATAATTAATCTGCTGTAACTCTGTAACTCATTGCTGTTGAGTCGGATCCGACTCATAGTGATCCCTCCTTGGGTTTCCAAGGCTGTATCACTATGGAAGTAGGTTGCTCAGTCTTCCTTCTGAGGAGTGGCTGGTGGATTTGAACTACCAGCCTTCTGGTTAGTAGTCAAATGCCTTAGGCTCTACACCACCGAACTCTTCTGAAATTATTCCCAATGGTTTTGAAATCAACAGGTTTACATATACTATGGTCAGTGTGATATTATAACAAGAAAGCCAAAAGAGAAAATCATAAATAGTTATCATAAGTAGTTGTGGAATGTGGTCACTGCTAATCTATTCACTATACCAAATACCTTGAGTTTAATGGCTCAGTCGTTGGATTAACTTCTTTGCTTCTTTTTTTGGATTTCTTTTTCCTTCCACCCTCACAAATGTAAGTAATAGTACAAGGAGAAAAAATGTAATTCAGCAAGTTCTGATGCAGTGTTTGGCTTGAATTTAACAGCTTTTTAGATTTTAATTTTGTTAAGCTTTGCTGATATCTTTGATTTTGCCTCTCTTAAGGAATAATATAGTTACAGGTATTAGGATTGAGCTATACTTATCATGTAGATAGCGACACACACTTGAAGTTCTTAATCATAGTGGACCTAACCTTAGGTGACCATACTAATATTGTACCAGGTCTTTCTTTGTAGGCTCAAAACAAAACAAAATAACTTCACAATTTTAGGTTATCCATGTTCTGAAAAGGCTTCTTCCTGTTTCAGTCCTCATTTTCTTCTCTCCTTCAACTTCGTTAATTCAGAAACTAGGATTCATAAACAGGATGCAGATATTAACATGTTTTCAATGGCTTATTGATACTCCTTAGCACAGTAAGAATCTAATGGGCAGTCTCTTAGATCATTTTAAAAAATCAGTGTGTCTGTTGCTTCAGGAAAAAATAAAAATATATTCTAGAATAATTAGGCCTTTAAAAAATGTGAGCTAAATAAAGTGAGTAATTCAGTGTGGAGTCTTTAGAGTCAGGTTACTTGGGTTCAGATCCCACCTTTATCACTTTCCTACCTGGTAAATTGTGGGTACATAACACCCTTTAAAAAAAGAAAATTATCTCAAAGTTTATGAAGGTTGGGAATCCAGGAGTGGTTAACTGGGTGGTTCTGGGTCAAGGTCTCTCATGAAGTTACAGTCAAACTGTTGGCTAGGGCTACAGTTATCTGAAGGCTCAACTATGGCTGGATGATCTATTTCTAAGGTGGCATTTGGCATGAGGCCCCAGTTCTCAGTGGCTGTTGACAGAAGGTCTAATCCCTTTGCTACTTGGGCTCCCCACAGAGCTGTCTGAGTTTCCTCTTGACACAGCAACTGGCCTCCCTCAGAGCAAGCAATACACGAGAGAGAAAAGCAGAAGCCACACTGTCCTTCATGGCTGAGCCTCAGAAGTGACATTCCATTCTTTCTGCCCAGTTAGTTCTATTGGTCACACAGACCACAGCACCTAGGATTACTCCCCTTTTCTGATCCTCAGTTGCTTTACCCATAAGAAGGAAGTAATAAAAAATAAAGGCTCTACCTCTGTACTGTTACGAAGGCAAAACGAGCTAATACATGTAAATTGCTTAATATAGAGCCTCATTCATGTGAGCTTAACAGATCTTAATTGTTACCGTTTAAGAATTATTTGATAGATTTTTAATGCAGCGTTTTATATTCAAGAAAATACCATTTTCTTCTATGAGAAGAAGCCACTTACTAAGTTGTAGTTTGTATTGTTCATTTTCCATAGTGAGGGTATGAAGGCGTAGCTGAAAGCTTATTTTTCCCTGGCTTCCTTGTTGTTACTTGGGAGAGTCATTTACCAGCACTGAACAGATCCTTGCTCATCCTGGAGTGTGCTTCGTTGAGCTCCCACTTAGCAGTGCCTCATTCACAAACAAGTGCTACAGTTGGGAGCTTCTGCCCTTGTGACTTTTGGTTGTTGTTGTTGTTGTTGTTATGTGCCGTCGAGTCAGCCCCGACTCATAGCGACCCCTCCTTGGGTTTCCGAGGCAGTATCACTACGGAAGTAGGATTGCCCAACCTTCCTTCTGAGGAGTGGCTGGTGGGTTTGAACCGCCAGCGTTCTGGTTAGCAGTCTTGTCTTTTTCTATTCATCTGTGGACTCTCTTCATTCTCATGGAGGATCTGTATTGCCCCTCCCGTCTTGGTTTTAACTGCTCTGAGATGACTACCTGTCTTTTGAGGTGTCCTTTCTTAGGATCCCTCAGAGTGAATTTTGAACACGTCTCATGGCCTATAATTTGAATACATCCATGTAAAAAGTACTTAAATTTGGTGAAAATTTGTCCAGGATTTTTCACATGACACACTCACACACACAACTTAATTGTAGGTTTTTGTTGGATTATTAAAAACTTTCATTTTCAAGTGTCAGAAATCTGATAAAGAGTGTAAATAGTAGGAAATTGGGTCATGAAACTGGCGATTTTTCAGATAAGTTACTTTGTCAAGTTTTAAGCCTAGTTGGATCTGGCAGTTCAGATGCCCTCAGGAATCTTTCTCTCTTTTACTCTACTACTAAGCTCCCTTTGATTTTAGCCATCAGATGTTTTAGCTTTCCTTTTATTGTCCTTATGGTTCCCAGAGAAGTTACCATTCCTTTCTCAGTGCCATCAAACACCCGGGCATTCATGTATTTGGCCTGTTTTGAGTTATAAGCCCATGCCTCATCCCATCATGTTGGTCACGTGGAGTTGGCCTTTCTCGAAATAGTGAAATAGCAGTGGAAGAGGGATGATTTACAAGTCAAAAAGAGGGCTGCTTTTACCAGAAGAAGGGGTGCTTACAGGCAATGACAATTGGTGTCCACTATAGCTCTCCCTACTGTACTTTTCTTGGTCTCCCAAAGCCAGTTTTGCATGTGCTACTTAACTTTTGTTTACATCAGACCATTCTAGCACATCCTCAGGATTTGGGAAAAAGTAGTCTGGTAGTTCTTGCGTGGTGTGGCAACTAAGAGATTGAAATTTAATTTTTGTTGACGTAGATTCTGTTGGTAGATGGTAGAATTTCAATTGAGACTTTTCTTAGATGCTTTAATGATGAGTTCCTTCTTTCCCGCTCTTCATTTCTTATAAAGAGCATACACATTTTTATACATAGCACCTTAAACCTGAGTAATGAGTTATTAAAAATAAAATTATACTTTGGGAGTGACTTAGAATTCATATTCACCTAGGAAAGAAAATATAAAATACTAGGATTTTTTTCAAGTTAAGAGACTAAAACAAAATCTCTATTTTAAAGGCATAGTGCTTTCAACACAGTTAATTGCCTCTTAGAGGATATTAGATTAAAACCTCATGGGCCAGAATCATTGAGAGGTCCAACTCTGACTGTATGCTCAAGTCTGTTAGCTCCATTGCCATTGTAGACTTTTATTTTTAGAAAAACTTTTAAATTGTTGTTTGTTCATTCACACCTCATTTTGAGGACTTGTCAAACTTTCTTGTGTACTGATTCTATAAATTTGGATATTTCTTTAGTTTTAAAAATGATTAATAACTAACTTCTTTAGCTATTGTAATAAATTGCTTCTTTAGCTATTGTAATAAGTTACGTAACTACATTTATTAATTATGTAGTATTAGGTAGTTACGTGTTAGTTATGTAGTATCTTAGTTATGTAGTTCTCTAGTGCTGCTGTAACAGAAATACCACAAGTGGGTGGCTCTGCAATAAATTTATCTTCTCATGGTAGGAGGCTAGAAGTCCCAGTTCATGGCGTCAGCTGCAGAGGAAAGCTCTATCTTTTTGGGGGAAGTTCTTTGTCTCTTCCGCATCTGTTCCTTAGCTCCTTTTTTTTTTTTTTTTTTTTGGTTTATGCAACTTTATTGAAGAAAAATCAATTACTAGCAGAGCTATGAGTTGATCACTCATCCATTGACAACTTGCATCATTTATTCAGTGCTGTATTAAACAATGTATTGGAAGATAGATTAACTAATAACTCCAAGCCTCCTAACAACTTAAATGAAAATTACAAACTGTTTGAGACCCTATTTTGGAATACAAAGGGTGTTTTGACTTCCAATTTCTATTCTCCATAGAACAAGAACAGGTCTTGTCTTTATTGACATGCATAAAATACATCACATTTTCTGTTCTGCTGATGCTATAAATTCAATCAATACCAGTTCTCCAGCCACATCAGTTACGAGCATAAAAGTATATCATGTAACCTCAAACCTCTGGCAGTAGAAGGCTTAAACAAGAATGGATGCTGTTAGAGCAATGCTGTTTCTTTGATGTGACAGCTGAGCATCCATCTCCCTCCCCCCTGGATGATTTCTTCAGCATGTTAGAGCAGTGAGATGGTTTTTAGTCTCATAACCAAGTTAGAGTGAAGACACTGGCCACATAATACACATGCTCCATTAAAAAAAAAAAACTCTGAATCTTGGGCAACTGTTGTCTTGTAACTACTTTACAGTTTCTAAAGCAGTTACTGTCTAAAGCTGGAAGAACTTAAGTCTTCTGAGATGAGCATGTGAATGAATGGATGGAGGTAAACAAAAAATAAAATGAAAAAAGATGAGGTCTGATAGGGGAGCAGCCAGATAAGAAAATCAAAAAAGGAACAGTAATTTAAAGTTTATTCCAGCTATAATGCAGGTTATTCTGACTTTGAGGTAGCATCATATGGCATACTTCCGAGTCCATTCCTGAGATGTTCTGTTTTATTTATCTCTGTCTGTTTTATAGATCCGTGCAGTCTCTGGCACTAGGGGGTTATCTGGGTTCAGATCACATAACAGTGAACAAATGGATAAAAGAACTTTAGAAATAGTTAAAGCAGAAGACCATTGTGATCTTAGAATATTGAGACAAATGCTGCCATTACTGTTAATATTTGGATGATAAATTGTTGTAAATGCAGCCTTTTGTGGTTTGAAGGGGTAGTCTGTAGGAAAATGAATTGTCAAAAAGAATACACTGCCTTGATATGAGCTCTCATTAGGTCCCATAATTGTGACTTGCCAGTGAAACATACCACCCCCAACTGGACCTGCAGAACACTGTGCCGGAGGGTCTCGGGCCAAATCATTAAGTTTCTTATTAATCCGTTTCAGCGCCATAGTTTGTGCTTCTCGTCTGGCTCCGCACTATCTCTGTGTGCACTCAAAGGCCCGGCCAAAACTCTTGATCATCCAGGCAGTGGGGAAGTATTGTCTCTTCATCTCACACCATCTCTACCAGACATTGGCACTTGGTATTAAGGCAGGTCTCGCAAGAACATCGTGGCTCGCTAACAGGAGTGGTTATTCCTTAGCTCCTTGGTGCTCTTCGTGTGGTGTGGCATTTGTCTTCCCCCATCTCTGCTTGCCCATTTGTTTAATTTCTCTTTTAAATTTTTATTGTGATTTGGCGAAAGTTTACAGAGCAAATTCATTTTCCATACAGCAGTTCATACACATTTTGTCTCATGACATTGACTGCAATTCTCCACAATGTATTGTTTAATTTCTTTTATATCTTAAAAGACATTGATTTAAGAAATACCCTACACTAATACTGTCTAATTAACATAACAAAGAAAACCATTCCCAAATGGGATTATAACCACAAGTATAAGGGTTAGGATTTTCAACACATATTTGGAGGACAGAATTCAGTCTGTAACACTCAGTCTTCTTAAAAGGATGATACCGTTGAGTTTTACATAGCTATTAAGGAGCTCTGGCCACGTAGTGCCTAAGGATTTGACTGCTAACCAGAAGGCTGGCAGTTCAAACCCACCAGCCACTCCTCGGAAGGAAGGTTGGGCAATCTACTTCCGTAGTGATACCATCTTGGAAACCCAAGGAGGAGGGGTCGCTATGAGTCAGATCTGACTCGATGGCAGTGAGTTTTTTGTTTTAAGTAGATTAATACTTATCTGAGAGCTATCATTTAATGGATCAGATTAATCTTCCTGTTCTTGAAGGAAGAAATGCATTTATGGTGCAAAAATAAACGTGGGGGATATTTCTTAGCCATATAAGGAAATGAAGAATTGATACATGCTTACAACATGGCAGAACCTTGAAAACATTATGCTAAGTGCAAGAAGCCAGACACGAAAGGCCACATTTTTATGATTCCATTGATAGGAAATGTCCAGAATTGGCAAAACCCTAGAGGCAGAAAGTTGATTAGTGGTTGCCAGGGCTAGAAGGAAGGGGGCATAGGTTATCTTTTGTGGGGTGATGAAAATGTCCTGGAATTTGATAGCAGTTATGGTTCCACAATATTATGAATATACTAGGAAACATTTTTTAAAAGCTTAAAATGGTGGATTTTATCTGTACTTTTAAAAAAGTTTTATTATAAAATATGCCATTTTAGCCACTGTTAACTGTACGATTCAGTGGTGTTAATTATGTTCACAATACTGTGTAACCATCTGTATGTAATGTGAATTTTATCTCAAAAAACAAACAAAAAAAAGACTTGGGCCATATAAATTGATTCTTTTAACTACTTAGGATAGAAATACACTGGCATTAGTTATATCAAGAAGAAAATAAATTTAAATAGAATTTCACAAAAGCAATCTATGTAGTTTTATTTAAGGTAATAATTCTCACTAACCAATTTTTTATTCTAGAACTAAAGAATACTTAACCAATACCTAGAAATACTTTCTACCATGTTATCCATATTGTTTTAGGGTACAAGATAATCCTGTATTTATATCACTCACAAATAAATACACATGTATATTTTGGAGTGGAACAAAAACTTGTAATATTTGAGTATGGTAAGTCTGGTCACAAGGCTGTATTTTAGCCAGTTCTATCCTTTAACTCCAGTATTAGGGCAAGGTGGAGAGGTGTACAGTGTGGCAGGCTCCTCAGCTGTTTTCTAAGTGTTTAATCTGTTTATAATTTTTAAACAAAATAAAAAGCTACTGTTGCCTTTCTTCTTCCTTTAGGCTCGATTTTATTCTCCAGCCACCATATTTATTGATGAGATAGATTCCATTTGTAGTCGCAGAGGAACTTCTGAAGAACATGAAGCAAGCAGAAGAGTGAAGGCCGAGCTGCTGGTTCAGATGGATGGTATGCTCGTGTACAGACCTGAATTGACTTAGGTGGGAGGTTGTGATGTGTCTCCGTTCCAGTGAATCAGGCTTTACTCATAGTGCTGACACAAGGCTTTAATAGGTGTTCTTAACTCCAAACGAACTAGAGGGTGCTGGCACATAGCAAAACTTCAGGGTTAGTTCCTGAAAATTGATAGAAACAAATTTGGTATGCTGATGGTGGTGACCCGCCAGAAATAATGGTGTTCACAGAGCACCCTTTGACATGTAAACGAAATCTCTTTATTTTTAGCCTTGAAATTTAAAAGCTGAGTTGGTCCTTTGATTACATCAGTTTTGAGTTGTATTTTTGCATGTCACAACATTTTTTCTTGGACTGCAAATTCAGTTATATATTAGCTTATTAGTTTTAAAGAAAGACTTTATTAGCTTGTATTGTGCCAAATACTTAATGATCCTTAAATAAGTAAGCTTTATTTTGTATAATCTGACTCCATTTTTTCCTTTACCTTCTCTCCTCATGTTCTTTTAGGTGTTGGAGGTGCCTCTGAAAATGATGACCCTTCTAAGATGGTTATGGTTCTAGCAGCAACTAATTTTCCCTGGGATATCGATGAGGCATTAAGACGTCGTCTTGAAAAAAGAATCTATATCCCATTACCATCAGGTATCTTTATTTAAATCTTGTTGGAAAACTTACGTTAACTCTCAAGTAGTTTTACTTAGAAACTTTTATATTTGGTATTAATAAACTTTAAGAGACAGATGGTATCTTCCCTTTGATTAAGTAGGCTCTGGCCGTGTGAGTTTGGCTGCTCTAGAGCCCGAAAACCAGGATACTGGGAAGTCAAACATTGCGAGAGAGAAATGCCTGTTGAATTTTCAAGCAAAGCACATCTAAAAATTGTGAAACAACTCCTCAAAGTAGGTTTAAGAAATAATAATACACTTCATTTAAGTTGAAGGCTTACACTTTTCCATTTGTTTTTACTGTCAGCAAAAGGCAGAGAGGAGCTGTTACGTATAAGTCTACGTGAGCTGGAATTGGCCGATGATGTTGACCTTGCAAGTATAGCAGAAAACATGGAAGGTTATTCAGGTGCAGACATCACCAACGTGTGCAGGTATGAGTTACTTTGGAAGCACAGGTTTTTGTGGTTAAAACTTCTATTAGGAAGTTTTTTATCCTGAAATAAGATAGGGGAAGAACAAAGGACCCATATTACAGTCTATAGTCACAGACACAAGTTTTGGTTTTAAATTAGTGTTAACAGTTAGGTACATGGTTAGTTTGTATGTCCGTAAAGAGCCTGCAGTCCATTTGAAAGTTATACATTCAAAAAGCTCATTTTCAAACAATTTGTGTAAAACAGAAAATCATTTCTTTTTAATGTTGGTACATTCCTTCACATTGTTATATAGGAAATATGATTGAGAGCTACATTGATTTGGCATAATCTCGATTTCAGTGGGTACAATCTTGTTTTCTGTGTAGCTATTCAGTGTGATAGAAACAGCAGGATAAAGGAAGACAACCATCTCTAATCTAGCATATTCCAGTACATTGTATCCTCACCTACATGTTAATTCAGATGCTCCTTATTGGCAAGGTGCTTGACCACTCTGGTTTCCTCAAATGTAAGATAGACATGCCATGCCAGGATGTTGTGTTGTTGTTGTTGTTGTTATGTGCCGTCGAGTCGGCCCCGACTCATAGCGACCCCTCCTTGGGTTTCCGAGGCAGTATCACTACGGAAGTAGGATTGCCCAACCTTCCTTCCGAGGAGTGGCTGGTGGGTTTGAACCGCCAGGATGTTGTGAGGACTGGAGATAACATGTATATAAAGCATTTGCATAAATAGCAACTGCTGTTAAAAACAGGTACTTAAATCTGAAGGTTTTTTTCTTCTTTAAAAAAAAAAAAAGATCACTAATACAGAGGGGGAAAGGAGAAACCACCTAGCTTGAAGTCATCTAGCTTTTACTATTTCTGTAGAAAATACTTCATTTCCTAGCTGACAGGTTCTCTTGTGTCTGTGGTGGTTCTTTACTTGACGTTTATAATGAAGTTCAGTTGCTAGCTTCCTCATCGTACCTTAACTTTTCCTTGGGCTTTCATGCTCAGTATTGGTTATTTCAATTGATTAGCACTCATATTTCATTACGGAAGATATAAATACTAAAAAAATAACTCGGAACTGGCTTTGTATTTCTGATACGAGATTCTATGCAATACAAAATACGTATGTTTAACAGGATCATAGTTAAAATGTTACAACACATGCATTAGAAAGAATTGCTATTTCCAGCTTTTCATTCAGAGTATTGCTTTGTAAGGTTTTATTTATTTATTTTTTATATTTAAAACCTAGGGATGCATCCTTGATGGCAATGAGAAGGCGCATTGAAGGTTTGAGCCCAGAAGAAATCCGAAATATCTCAAGAGAAGAAATGCACATGCCTACAACTATGGAGGATTTTGAAATGGCTTTAAAAAAGGTTTCAAAATCAGTATCTGCTGCAGACATTGAAAGATATGAGAAATGGATATTTGAGTTTGGATCATGCTAAATTCTCACATGTGAACTGTGAGAAACCTGCTTTAAGTGTTTGAATAATAATTAAATGTAGTATTTCGTTACACTGAGTGCTATATTTTTTTAAACTTTCATAATGGTAAGATTAAAAAAAAATCTTATTCTGAATAAAGGTAATTTTTTTAAAGCTGCAAGTAAATTTTACTTTAGCATTACCTTATTTCTATTTCCCTGATGACAAAAATGCTGTTACTTTAGCTTAGAAAAGTTTGCTGTTCCTTCTAGGGTAGAAAGTAAGACTAGCTCCAGCTCCTTGGGTGCTAGTGGGTATGAGAGAAAGTTCCTCAAGTAGCAACCAGAAGCATGAACCAGGCCAGTGTGCCTTCCCTCCCTGCTGGTGCTATGGCGGTGTCCCTTCTTTTCCTGGGATACCTGGCAAGTCCTTCATTTTACTGTGCATTTTAAATGGGGTACAGTCTACAACCTTGCTGGATCTTACTCTTAACTACATTAAGTGGCTATACCATAGACAAGTGGATATTCCTAAGCCTGTGCTCTTCATTGTACTCTCATCAGACCAGTATTACCGGGTGAGCTCTTACTAACTTATGAATGCTGAGCATAATTAAAGTAATAGTTAATGGTCTAAATAAAAGTTAATAAATGAAATAAAAGTTAATGGTATGAAGTTTTAGGTAGGTTTCCATTTATGATTATTTTGAAAAAAATAGTGATTGTAGCATTCCAGCCATAGAAGAGAAATCGTGCCCAGGTAGGTTAATTTTGTCCCTTGTCAGGTCTCCAATCTCACAAGAAGGCAGGTTAAGAGCCAGGTGTGTGAACTGCTAAGCCTATTCTCTTCAATTGGCCATAGAGCCTCCTAAAGATTTCTCTAGAATCTGTGACCTTATTCTTAATGCATGAAATAAGACTTACCATTAATTGGAGTGTTTTTAGCAACTTAAGGAATGAGGAAGGCCATAAAGAAAGTATTACACAGCTGGGTGACGTTAGGATCAAATTGTGAACTGCAAGTTATTCTAAATCATGAAGCTAGGACTCACATTTCACAGGGCTATTACGATTATAAATTAAAAACTGCTCACACACACATTCATATATATTTAGCCTAAATGAAGTTGGAAGAAAAAAATCAGTCATTACATTCTGGGACAGTGTTTTCAATGGTGGGTGTGACAAAAAAATTTAATGAAAACAATAGAAAGTATCCATTTATCCTATGGAATAAAGATACGTCATGGTCATTGTCAAATATACGTAATACAGGCAGTGGTTAAAAAAGTCAGACAACACTGCTGTGGGTAAACACACTATACTCAGACCCACAGGACCAGGGCATAGTCCAATCCATCATATTGATGGACTCATGAACTGTCTGGAACCTCAGTTCTAGCTAGTGTTAAGTGAAAGGAGCTCTTACCATACACAGGTAATTCTCACCTGGGCAAAGTTCTTATGTAATTTAACCAAAAAACTCCACCAAAAGTTTAGAGTGAGAAGATGTCATTATTACTTTTAAATCCTGGTGTATTTAAGGCAAATAGTCTCAATACAGGATATAATCAAATTGCAGTACACCTCAGTGATCTGATAGTTAGTCACAAACTTAATACAAAGGCACGGGTACTGGATAAAAAAATAAGTGTTAAGTTCTTGAAGGTTTAAATTAGAATTCCATAAAGTGCTTTTTATAAAATCTTATATATATTATAGTAATTAAGTGGATATATTTTCCTTAACAAAGGCACCTTGAAAAATTATTGACACATGGCAGTTTCTCTTGCCTTTTTCTTTTTGGTAATTCAAAGTCTTTTCACATGTCTTCTTTTTCACTTTGTTTTAATTGTCTTTAACAGACCATCATCTGAACAGCCCACTCTGTTTCACAGTGAGGTGAGCTTGTCACTTTAATGGTGAATTTTTTAGGCAGTCTAAGGAGTTGAGCACTTTGTTTAGTGTAAATTGATTCTTAACGATTTAAAGAAAATTGTATTCAAGTGGCAAATCTGAAGGCAGCAGACTAATTCAGAGTCCATGATTTGAACAGGTGTTAAATACATGTTTTATCTTCAAGGTTTTCTGCTGTTTTCTCAGGACCATCTGGATATAAGTTGACAGGTGTCACAGGTATAACATTCATTTTATCCAACTGAAGAATTCCTCTGAAATATAAAGTGATTAATTACTATCAAAACCAAACATTTCCTCTAAGTTTGACAATAAGATAGAGCTACTTTAAGGTTATAATTAAATATATATATATATATATATATATATCTAGGTTCATTTCAGTTAATAGTTTGTAATAGTTGTATAAACTCTGAATCCAAAGTTCATTTTCACCAAACTGACTGAGGGGAACAGAAAGGTATAGGAAGTGCATTACTTGGCACTGCAGGAGGAAGGAAGGGATTGAGCATGGACCGCTCTCCAGAGCAGACACTAGATCTGCACAGGGCGGGCGAAAAGAGGGCGCACGCAGCTTTCTAACCAAAACTCACTGCTGGATTGTACCCTTAGACTTTAGACTCACTGCCATTGAGTAGGATCCAACTTATGGCGACCCTCCTTGGGTTTCCGAGGTGGTGGTATCACCTCACTACAGAAGTAGATTGCCCAACCTGCCTTCCAAGGAGTGGCTGGTGAGTTTGAACTGCCAGCCTTCTGGTTAGCAGTCAAATGCCTTAGGCACTGTGCCACCAGAGCTCCCAGTTCTCTGTTACACAGGAAGAAATGGGAGTCTCAAAGACCTCATAACAGGCAAGAGGCAAAGGAGATGTTCAAATCAGGTCTATTTTTTGGTGAGTCCCATGGTCTTTCCAACATAGTACACTGAAATTTAGCTAAGCCCCAAACTGCTCATCTCCATTGAAAGTTGCTTCTATTAAGACTATGAAAACAACCAATCATTTAACTTGTGAAAATGCTAACAATAAATATGTTTTAAAATTTATTATAAAACTAGTAATTACTTATGGCCAAACAGCAACAAAAAAATCAATACAGAAGAAGGAAAGTGCTAAGTCTCTGCACCTCTGCTCTCATTCTCACTCATCAAAGACAGCGTTTCTTTGTCATTCCAAACCTTTTCTATGCATATACACACAGACACACACAATACTTGTTTTACCCAAATGGGATCATACTGTTTGGCAGCTTGCTTCTTCCACCTCATCCATTTTAAATTTCTTTCCACGTCAGTATGCAGGCCTCTGTCTTTTCCAGCTGCCGAATGCCCCTGCTTGTGCCCTGTTAGCTAGTCACTCAAGCCCACAGACTCCTGTTTTGCTTTTGTGTCCTATTACAAGTCATGCTGCAGTGAATATCCTGGTAACTCTTCTGAAATTAAATTCATTTTTTAAATTGATACTTTGGGGAAGGAAATACATAGTGAAGTCCTCTTGTGTGTATCTCAGCATACACACCGCATTTTCCATTACAGATACTCCTATACTTACCACCCCCTACTACACTGAACAGTGTGTTTCATTCATACTTGAATCCCTAAAAGTATCTTGATCATACTAAGTTTTCAATGAATGTCTTTATTTTGCTGGAAGATGGACTAGAAAAAAAAGTAGGCCTTTCATTTCCCTCCTACTTGTCTGTCTTACCCTTATGTTTCTAATCTAAAATACAGTAAATGTAACTTACTTTTTAATCATTAAAAATGCCAACATTATTTCAATAAGTAAGAAAAACTTACTTGTATTCACATACTGGGAAAAGCACCTTTAAGATGGTTATTACCACAGTTGCTCCTGTAATTCCAACCACCATGACATTCAAAAACATAAAAAATACAGGGAAGATACTGCTCCAGAACCTGCACAGATCTTTCCTGAGCTTCTCCATCCACTGACACATGACCTGAAAAAAGAGTTCTGATGAGGTCTGTGAGTCTCACTTGAACTCTAAGAATAAACCAAAAACTTCATCCTGGTTGTGGGGTATTAGGAATATTCTGTATCTTAATTATATTGGTGGTTACATGACTGTCTACATTTGTCAAAAGGAATCTTAACTACATTTAAACTGGGTGCATTTGATTTTTAAATGTCCCTCAATAAAGTTATTTACAGTTTTTAAAATTATGCCCCAATAGTACAGGCACAGAAATGTTAATATCCTTTAAAATGATTTATACTGTTGTCTAACTATCAATCAAATGAAAATTCTGCTAATTGACAAGAAGTTAGTTGAGCTAGTCCACGGTAAACAAACACGCAGTAACACATCTGCTCAGGTGGCGGGAGGACAAGAGAAGCCAGTGAGAGAAACACGTTAGTAGCTTTTAGAATAGATGGGAAGTTCACTGTGCACAAGACATGTTTCTGTCCTTGAGGGATGAGAGGTGACACTGAGGAGTCCATGCTGGGATGGACTGTGAAGACAGTCTGTTCTTGAGCTGTCTTGCTCTGAGGGAGAAATGTCAGGCAGTAAAATGTGGTCTGGGTTTCTCCAGCAAGCCCAAATCCCAACCTTCAGTGAGATCATCTTCAAGGTATAATCTTTGGAGTCCTTTGAGACAAACTATAGATCCTGCTCATGTAAATGGAAATTATTTTGGGTAAGAGGTCTAACTTGTAGTATATGGGGAGATAACAGGATACTCTGTCTGAACCCTGACTATCTTCCCAGTCAGCAATATTAATGTCATTGTTAACATATAAGTACTTGTTGTTGTTAGATGCCATCGAGTCGGACCTGACTCATAGCGACGCCTCCTTGGGTTTCCAAGGTGGTATCACTATGGAAGTAGATTGCCCCATCTTCCTTCCGAGGAGTGGCTGGTCGGTTTGAACCGCCAGCCTTCTGGTTAGCAGTCAAGTGCCTTAGGCACTACACTACCAGAGCTCCTATATAAGTACTTAGTAGGTGCCAAAGAATATTTATATGTAGTGCCATGTAATTTAATCCTTACAACCATATGAGATAGGCACTACCTTTACAGATTAAGTGATGTCCCATTTTACAGATGGAGAAACTGAGCTTAGAGAGGTTAAAATCTTGTCCAAGATCACACAATTAGTAGATGGCAGAAATGGGACTGAAATCCAAACAGGCTGACGCCAGAGAGTATACTCTTAACCACTGTCCTTAATGCCTATACAAGATCCTGAGAGTACCATGGGCACGTATGAAAGGTAGGAGTTACAGAAGAAACAGAGAAATGGGAATAGAGAAAAAGAAGAACTGTAAGTGAAAATTTCCAAACACATTGAAATCCAGTGCCTTGGTAATCCTGATCTGGCTACATTATCATTAAGTGAAATTTAAAGAACCCAGGAATACCTTACATCCCATCAAACAGTGATGAGCCCCTTACTAAACAATACTTCATGATTCAAATCTCCATGGTTTCCACTCATTTTAAATGCTAGTATATTTATTTAGTTATGTATTTGCCATAACTGCTTATAATATAAAGATAACACCAAATACCTGATTTACCTTATATGAAGATGGAGGCTCTGCTCTGAGAGGAGTTTCAGGTAATTTGCCAGGTAAAGCATCTTCATCTATGGTGGTTTCCACATTCCTGATAAGATACTGACTGGTGGTCTGCAATGAACCAACACTTTCTACTAAAGAGGAAGAGTAACATTACTCAAGTGCTTGGGCATGCTGGTATCTCTCCTAGTCCTCAGACTATGGTACCACTAACATTTAGGATGGCAAGAATATACATTTTACCATGGGAGAAAAAAAAAACATTTACTTGATTGTTCACTGACTGAAATACCAGAAGGACATTTCATTTAGCTATCTATAACAGAGTCCAAAGTTCACTTTCACCAAACTGACTGAGGGGACAGAAAGGTACAGGAAGTGCATTACTTGGCACTGCGGGGAGAAGGAAGGAATTGAGCATGGACCGCTCTCCAGAGCAGACACTAGATCTGCACAGGGCGGGCGAAAAGATAGGGTGCACGCAGCTTTCTAACCGAAACTCACTGCTGGATTGTAACCTTAGACCTTAGCTAGCATTTCTCTTTTTGTTACTGAAGCACCTGAGCAGAGAGTAGATCTCTGGATTGGATCCAGCACCAGCTATGAAAGATTATTTGATGAACATTGACAGTAATTATAACTATGTTACTGCTACAGGAATAGACAAACAGATCACCTGAACAGAAGACAGTCTACAAATAGACTAATGTACATGGGAGCTACAGCAGTTATGATTCTGTCACAGTGAAAGTCAAAATTTAACAAGTTCTATGTTACAATGGAAAAATGAATCCTTTTTCCTCTAAATGAACCTTTGTGATGTTCTTACACACATCCCGTGATAATGATCCTGAGGAAGAACAGGTCATTTCAGCAGAACAGCACTGTGCTAGTAGCACTGATCACATCTATGAACACTTGAGACAGACTCTACAAGTCCTTAAATAGACATACACGGGAATACGTGTTAAAAAGCATTTCTGAAAGATTACATCCAAACATATTATGATTAAAAGTGTATAGAAGTTTTACAAATCTTGTAAAACGTTAGAAAGCTCAAGACTATATAAAAAACTACCAACCAAAGAAATGGTTCTCCTAACACACTGAATAACGGTCTTTAAACTACCTTTTCTGGAGAGGTTGGGAAGAGTAAATAAAATGTCACTGTCCCGGGAAATGGAATACAGCATGCTTTCTTCCAAAGGTAGCATGTGGTTTGAATGTCGGAGTATTCCCTGGTTCTTAACTAAAATATCAATTTCAGTAACATCCTTTTGTTGAGCCTATGAAAGAAAAAGTAAGTCATTACTCTGTATTTTAAATAAGGACACAAGCTCATAAGAATTTAAAACAGAATTTTCCTGCCTGGATTCTGTACCTAAAAACACTTGTTCTAGTCAGACAATTGTGCTTTATTTTCCTCCCACTCTGAAACATTTAATTCACAACTTTAATCATATTCCTGTCTCTTTAGCACTTAAAAGTATTAGCTTTGAGTCCTGGTGGTGCAGTGGTTAAGTGCTTGCCTGCTAACCAAAAGGTCAGTGGTTCGAACCCACCAGCCACTACACATGAGAACAGTGTGGCAGTGTGCTTCTCTAAGATTTACAGCCTTGGAAACTATATGGAGCAGTTCTACTCTCTCTTACAGGGTTGCATGAGTTGGAATCAGCTTGATGGCAATGGTTTGGGTTTTTAGTAGAAACTTACAAAGCCCTGGTGTTGCATTGGCTAAGCACTCAGCTGCTAACTAGAAGGTTGGCAGTTCTAGCCCACCAGCAGCTCCATGGGAGAAAGATGTGGCAGTCTGCTTCTGTAAAGATTGTAGCCTTGAAAACTGTATGGGGTAGTTCTATTCTGTCCTCTAGGGTTGCTTTGAGTCAAAATCAACTCGATGGTACACAACAACATAAGCTTACTCTCAGTTACATTTCACTTAGAGAAACTCAGCCAGAAAACATGGGTAGCAGAGGTATGGGCCAAATTCTCTTCATTTACTTCCTTTGTTTAATGATGGTCATAACATTTTAAAGTTATATAAACATGTATGAATATGATCAATATTTTTTAAAATTAAGACATTTCAAAATGCTACAAGTAAACAAAAATTCTAAATGGATACAGGTAGTTTCTTACCAAATTGTTCAACACTCATTTAATACGTGTATAACACCTAACACAAATTCAAATCTTTACAATTTAATATCCAATTAATAAGCATACTATCTTACTTGTTTTCCATCAATCTCTACTACCTCTTCTTGAATGACAATTAGTTGCAAACTGGAACCAGATGTCATAGGCCACTCATGAACTAAAATCCTTACACTGACAATTCCAAAATATCCTTTTTCATCCACATTTTCCAGATTTTCATTCTTCACTATAAAAAAAGAGTAGTGACAGCTTTAAACAAAAATTGCCACCAAATCTGCTACTGAATTTGATTATTTTGATGACATTCACATGGAACAAAACATTTATACCAACTTTTCTGGCTTTCTTCATCCCTGAACTCATTGCTGCTTCAGATTTATGGAAACAAAGATGATCTGACAAATCCTTACAACTGATTGTATTCATCTGAAAGGGGAAAAGTGCTTGATGGTCTTTACTTTTGCATGAAATACCACACTAACAACATCTTTTTTCCTATTATTTTATATTGGTTGTCACTGAGGGACCAACATGGCAGATCACAGAACACAACGGAAGACATAGTGGATCTCATGGGTCAGCAACATAAGCACAATCATGCTTCAAAATCTCCTTCGTGTCCTGTCATCGTCGGAGAGAGAAGGAATGGGGAAGAAGGAAAAGTCTGTAATGACATGTTAATGCACGGGGCGGGGGTGGAAATGGCCACTGTCTGGAAGGAAGGGTAGTGATTTGAACCCACCTACTGGTGCCTGAGGGAGCTCTGGTAGCATAGTGGCTAAGGCACTTGACTGCTAACCAGACGGCTGGCGGTTCAAACCCACCAGCCACTCCTCGGAAGGAAGGTTGGGCAATCCTACTTCCGTAGTGATACTGCCTCGGAAACCCAAGGAGGGGTTGCTATGAGTCGGGGCCGACTCGACGGCACATAACAACAACAACTGGTGCCTGAGACAAAAGGCCCGGCAATCTGGAAGTTCCCAGCCTTGAAAACCCTATGGAGCACAGTCCTACTTTGAACACCTGGTGTCACTATGAGTCAGAATTGACTCCACGGCAACTGGTTTAGTATTTTGGGGGTAAGATCAGCTATGAGTCAGAGCCAGCTCACAGGCAGTGTTAGCTGTTGGCCGTGTTCCTCTCTAGTTAGGGTCCCCTCCACCCCAACTCTAATGGAGATGGGCTAAGCCAACTGCAGCTAGTTTATAGGCAATGGCTACTCTATCACAGTACAGCGTGCCAGAGAAAAAAGAGAAAGCAACGTATGCCAACGAAACTGCTGCTAAAGGAACACTGAGTCTCTACACCTCATGTGTTGACAATCTAAGGATCACTTGCCAAACAGGAACAAGATGTAGGTTTTGATGTAGACCCAGCTGTTTAACCAAATTCTGTGTCTTCATAGGGCTTTTCCCTGCGGCTGGAATGCTCTCTACCACCACACCACCACACTGTCAATAAACGCCTACTTACTTAGGGAGCTCAGTCTACACCCCTACAATGCTGACTTTACTGTGTGCAGCTCTTGGTGTATAAACCTGTTTTCCCGACTAGACTGAGTTCCTGGAGAATGTGTGTGATGTTATGTCACACGTTATGTTAATGGGTCATGGGGGGTTAGGCCCCAGTTCTCAGTGCTGGCAGACTGAGCTGACGTGAGCAGCCAATCAGTTTGAAGGCGAGTTTCGTTGGAGTTGTGGCCTGCATCCAACATACATGGGTGTTCTGGCAAAGCCCTCCCCGCCAAGCTCTGGGTGCTTGGAGAAGCCTCCAGCCAGCCCGACCTGCAGAGTTTGGATTCGCCAGCTCCTGCAACCTCATGAGCCAGCAGGAGAAGCATTCATCCTGCTGCCTGATCCCCAGATTCAGGGCTTCCAGCCCCCACAACTGTGTGAGCCATTTCCTTACGTAAATATTCCTATATGTATTTATATATTCATTTCATTGGTTTTGCTCCTGTAGAGAACTCAGCAGAAGACAGTATGTGCCAGGTTTGCTGCTCTATAGCTTTTAACAGTGCTTCCAGCCAGAATTATAAATATCTAATTTTAAGTAAATATGCCTCACACACTATATACAATGTCAGTTGGTTCTAAACCCTAACTAGGATCAGAATCAACTGGGGAACAATCAAGATGCCAAAGCCTCACCCCAGTCTTCATGAATCAAAATCTCTGGGCACATTTGTAATTTTTAAAACATGTATAGATGTTTCTACTGCAAATCAAGTGAACTCCCTTTTAGCTAAAAGTGATTAACTCTTCATAACACTGCTCCTCCTTGACCTCCCTATTTCTGTTTGTGCACTAGCCTTCTTCCAGTTACCAAGGTAAAAATTTCGGTCACTTGGGACTTCTCCTCAGCCTTCATCTTCTGCATCAACTTAGCTGCTTACTCAGGGTCATTCTGGCTCTAAAGTCTCATATTGGTCCTTTTCCATCTCCTCCCAGTACCTAGTTCATTAGCCACTGACAACTGTAATAAAAAGGAGCACTGGTGGCGCAGTGGTTAAGCACTCTGCTGCGAACTGAAAGATGTTTGAACCCACCACCCACTCTGCAGGAGAAAGATGTGGCAGTCTGCTTCCTTAAGTATTACAGCCTTAGAAACTCTATGAGGCGACCCTGTCCTACAGGGTCGCTATGAGTCGGAGTTGACAATGGCAGTAAGCACGATTTTTTTGTTTACTACAATAGTTACCTATTATCTCTTCTTCAGTTCCTCTCCCTCCAAACACAATAGTGCTGGATTAATCTTACTAAATTCTGTTTTGTCACCAGCCTCTTTGCACACAATCCCCTGAGGATCCCATGGGGGCTTCTGCAGGCTCCTTACCTTACACTTGTTGCTCTCCACTTTATTTGACTCCCTTACATACTTCAAGGCTCACAACTATAAGACTCCCCTCTCTCATGGACCATCTCAGTGTTTTAATCAACTGTTTACCCATTGGTCTCCCTCACTCAACAGTAGGCTCGTGTGTGTAGCACAAAGGCTAGGGCACTATAGTTCAAGACATTCAATGAATAAGTAAATGCGGTCATATAAACACATCATAGTGGTGACTCTGTAGCCCTCAAATATGTTGCCTCTGCAGTAGACTCAAATTAAATTTAAAACTACCACCAAAAAAAACCAAAACCACTGCCATCAAGTTGATTCTGATTCACAGTGACCCTTTCAGACAGAACTGTCCCGTAGGGTTTCCAAGGCTGTAAATCTTTACGGAAGCAGACTGCCTCATCTTTCTCCCATGGAGGACTGGTGGCTTTGAACCACTGACTATCTGCTTAGCAAATGCTTTTAACCACGATGCCACCCTCCTTTTAAAACAACAAAAGCCCTCCACATTCACTCTTAACTTCCCCTACTGTGGTAGGCAGCTTTCAAGAATGGCCCTCAATGATCTCTGCCACCTGGAGTTCATGCCTTTGTGTAATTCCCTCACACTGAGTGTGGGCTGGACCTGGCGACTTGTTTCTAACAAACAGAATACAGCAAAGTGATGGAATGTCACTTCCATCCAGATTATAAAAGACTGACTTCTGTCTTCTGGTAGTCTCTCTTGTCCACTAGAAGATGAAGCCAGCTGCCATGCTGTGAGATGCTCGACAGAGAGGTCCACGTGGCAAGGAATCGAGAGAAGCCTCTGGCCAAAATCTCACAAGGAACTGAGGCCTCCCTCCAACAGTTCACAAGGAATTGAACCTTGCCAACAATCACAAAAGTGAGCTGGAAAGCACATCTTTTCCAGGTGAGCACTAAAATGACTATATTTTTATGAGATGCCCAGCACCAGAGGACCCAGCTATAAACCAAGCTCAGATTCCTGACCCCCAGAAGCTATGAGATAATATTGTTGTCTTAAGCCACTAAGTTTTGAGTTGATATGTTGTGCAGCAATAGATAACTAATACATCTACCAAAGAAAACATTTTTTAAAAAGTAAGGACAGAAGCTTTGTTATTGTTGTTGCATTTAATGCTTTGAAAGTTCTTGCTGTAATTGGATCAGATGGGCTCTTATTCCAACAACCTAAGAACAAATTCAGTGCAACAACCTGTACGACTGGAAAGATGGCTGTACTAGAGGAGCCAGGCTGCATTCCATATCACATTCCCAGTGAGGACAATGCCAATGGAATTATTTTTAAAACTAGTAATAGCTCTTCTTTTTCTGGCTTAATGGATTAGCTGGTAGCGGACCAGCCCTCTCACTGAGAATCACTAGAAAACTTATACAGAATTCACACACATATACATTCAAATCCCCAATCTGACTGCAGGTATCAGAGAGCTAAAAAGCCAGCCAGTACTTGAGGGGCCAAGAAGGGGACACGGAGGTGAGTCCAATATTCTATGGTTATTTTCCCTACAAGGCATATGCCAACTCTGAAACTGAATGAGTAGAAAAGTTGAAAAGCAGAGTAGAAAGAAATGACTAAGAGGCAGAGACGCTAAACACTTTTTGGCAGTCTCCTATAGCTGGGGACAAAGGAAGTTAAGGCGAGGAAGGTACTCAGAACTTGCAGGGACAAGACCCTGGAGAGAAGAGGATCATAAGTAAGCTAATATTCTATGCACTTCTTCCCTTTGAATCATTTGCTGATTAGTCAGCGGGGCTGAGGTGAGAAAATGGGTTTATCTATAACAATGAGAAGTTAAAGCAAAACTTTTGGCAGGCTTATGATGCTGGAAGTTTGGGGCACACAAAGGAGGCGAGGTCCTGCTAAACAACCCAAGTTTTCAATTGGGACCTATGAACAGCTGTATCTGAGAAGAGTGGATAAGAAATAGACTAGGCCTCACAAAGATGGAAATCCAGCCTTGAATCAGTTCCATCTTTGATTTAATTAACATGTTCTGTTCCTTAAGACCATGACTGCCAGGGGTCAGAGCAGACCCTGTCTGCAGGAAGGTAAAACCATCCAGTGCCTTTATAATTTCTCACACACAATATAAAATAATAACAAGACTCACCAGGGAGAAGATCAAGAGAAAAAAACAGACTCATAGGAGCTCAAGATATTAGGGTTAACAGACATGAACTTTAAAGTTACTGCAATTAATAGGTTCAAGAAAATAGGTGATAAAATAGAAACTTTCATCAGATAACTGGATATGAGAAAAAAGAAAAGAAATGGAAATTCCAGAAGTAAAGTTCAATAAATAAAATTAACTTAATTAGACACAGCCAGTGAAAGAATTTGTGTGCTGGAAGAATGGGAAGAAAAAAGGATGGAAAAACAGAAAGTAGTGGAAGACATGTATGGGAACCTGCAAGAGGATCTAACATGTATGTAAGTGAAAAGTAAGAAATAAAGAAAAGAGAGGATGAGACAGTAGTGTTAGTTGATGATAAAATGTTCAAAATGTTTCCAAAAGACACCAAGCCCTAGACTGAAAAACCCAAGTCAGGGTAAATAAAAGAAAACCACGCCTGTACCATTTCACAGTAAAACTACTAAAAACCAAAGCAAAGATAAAAAATTTTAAAAACACATATCTGACAAGGGACTTATCTCTAGAATTTATAGAACACTTCAACACCTCAATAACAAAAAGACAAACAATCCAATTAAAAAATGGGCAGAA